AGACACTCAGATATTATCGGCAGTTTATGGATGAAAACAACCTTTGAGTCTTCTGAACAATATAACATTTGGTTATTGATTTATTAAAATTAATATTCCGAATTAATACGTAGCATGGTTCCTCTTTCATAAAAGAGCATAAATTGATAACGCTACAGGGGGTTTAGAGTCTGCGGTTTCAACGCAGCATCAACGCTCATTACTTTCTTTTGGTTCCATCCTGCTTCACCAGCAACTTTTTCACTTTTACAAAGAACAACTGTTTAGTGACATCTGCTGATATCATTTTCCACTAAGGTACAACCAATCAGCGTAAGTTAACCACAAGTCTCGTCCAGCGACTCTGCCCGGCCTTTACGAGTACATACCCCACTACAGGTCCTTGGTTGGCCCCGGAAACCGGTCCGTTTTAGGGATAGCCTAGTGAAATGGAGACTGTGAAGGTCCAGGAAAATTACCTGGAAGTTTCGGGTCTTACGTCAAGGGGAGACAGCAAAATTCTCATAAATAAATATTTGGTCCGAGGGGAATTAAGTCACAATCACTGAAAAACAATCCTATACAACAGAATTTGCATCCATTCAGGAAGATAAGGAGCCATTTTACTTGCCAAAAAAAGAAATACGAGAAAAAAGTGTCTTCTCTCTAAAAAAAGTCTCACCAGCACCATCAGGTTTTCTCCTGCAGTTGTGTTTTTTGCAGATGCACCATTAAATCATTTTAAATAAAATTGCTGCATTTTTTTCCTTCTGAAAGACAGAGAGTTTTGATTGATTGATTGATTGATTGATTGATTGATTGATTGATTGATTGATTGATTGATTGATTGATTGATTGATTGATTGACTGACTCAAAAAGAGAAGAATTGCTTTATACTTAATTATGTTGAACTAATATAATAAGATTTGAAGATGTAAATAAAACCAAAGCATCAAAAACCTATAAGAATAAACTGAAGATAGTCATAAATTGTCAGGTTCAGAGCGGGAGGAGTAGGACCCAATATGCAGAGCACCAGATGACATGAGTCAGGAAGGTAGAATCCTTTATTGTGTGAGTTTATCCAAAAACGACGGACAGGGCGACAAGCCAGGTATCCAGAAATCCCTATTTTTTGGAAATGGACTTAATTAACTGGTCATTCAACGCAATTGATAAGATTTTTTCTACGATGAGAACGGAGGAGGGGGCTCCCACTTGCCCTCAAGGGACACATGCAGCGGGATATACGCTCAATTCCTGGAAAGAATGGAGGATTGTATGCCTCTCTCAGTTGTCCATTGAGGATGTCGAAGATATGTGGATATTTGGCCTGATGATCACTGGATTTCTTCTGATTGGGTGGGAGGATATCTGGTTTTGTGGAAATTTGGGAAGATGGGAGCGATTGGAGGGCGACCCGCACCCACGGAAAGCACCGCACGGGCGGATGCCTCACAGACTGGGACATTACTCGAGGTGAACCGTAAGCTGGACAATGTCCCAGCTGCGTTACCGGTATTACTGCGCAAAATGGATGTCATCTCGGAGAGGGTTACCGGACGGTGTGGAGATGTTTAAAACCTAAATTGGCTTCACTGGAGGACTTGAATGATCGGTTACAGACTGAAGACAGAGAGGAAAATTATCTCTGCCTCACCCAAACAAAGTCTTGTTATCCAAATCTGACGCCAAGGCAGCCTTCAATCTGCTAACAACAACCCCCACGAAGGAAGGAATGCAGACAGATGCTGTGAACCCCCCCACCCCCCACCCCCCACCCTCGGATTGTGGACTTCTGCCTCGCAAGGTCATCAGCCTGCAGGAATCAATGTGCTCTGCGCTTCTCCCAAGATCTCCCTCCTACCTGTGGCTACAGTTGGCTGAGCGCCATACAAGGCTGCTCCCGCTGGGGAAATAGGATCCCAGCCCCACCCCGCCTCCCTATAGGAGTCTCATGTTGTGAACTGTGATGTTCGTGCTTAAATGTTTGAGGCGTTTTTTTGCATAGTAAAGTTATGCCCTGCCGGGAGTAACTCTGATATGCCTTTTTTTCCCTCCCCCAATTTATCCTCATGTAATTCCCTTTTCATCTATTAAGGTAGTGCGACTCGTGTTGCGAAGGACCACAGTCACCAATTATTGTCATGTGTCTTGCCCATGTATGTCTGATCTCTGAATTGTGCGTACTGAAACTCTAATTTCCCTCTGGGATTAATAAAGTTTTGATTGATTGATTGATTGATTGATTGACTCAAAAAGAGAAGAACTGCTTTACACTAAATTATGTTGAACTAATATAATAAGATTTGAAGATGTAGATAAAACCAAAGCATCAAAAACCTATAAGAATAAACTGAAGATAGTCATAAATTGTCAGGTTCAGAGCGGGAGGAGTAGGACTCAATATGGAGAGCACCAGACGACATGAGTCAGGAAGGTAGAATCCTTTACTATGGGAATTTATCCAAAAACGACGGACAGGGCGACAAGCCAGGTATCCAGAAAACATGAACAAGTTCAGGAGTCATTAAACGAGCAGGAGTCTCAGGTTTTACACAGGGGAAGAAAACACGCTGACAACAACCATGGACGTAATTTTGTGTGTGTGTGTGTGCCCCCCCTTTCCAAAGTCAAGTTTTGACCCCTGCACTTTTTACCATCCAAAAACAATATTACGCTATATTAAATTGACACTGGTTGAGCTTGGACCAAGCAGAAAACAACCGTTTGTGTTGAAGCCTGTTTCCCATTAGAGCATCCTGTAAAGATATAAGAGGTTTTCTTTCTCTGAACCAAGTTTTCCTTTAATCTGTCACATAACCTCTTTCTTCCTCGCCCCTTAAATCCTTAATATGAATAATTTGCTTTAATCATCTTTGCTCAGTCTCTCTTGCATGTTTAATCAATACCTACAGAAATGAGCTGCAGCTTTTTATGAGCCGCTGCTGATAAATCTTCAAATTATTATCAGCTGTCACTCCACATCCGTCCTCCTGTTTCCACGCTCGGTTCTCTGTTGGGAGTGCAGCTGTCATCTTAATTTATTTGTACTTCTTTGGGCGTTTTTTTTTTTTGTACAGTTATTCCCAAAATGTGTCATCTGTGTTTTCAGGCCATTTGGTGCGCCATTTTTTGTTGTTGCATCAAATCTTACTGTTTATTTTCTACCACTTCTGTCACGTGCTTTTATTTCAGCTCATTAATCATTAATGTTTTCAGTCCCTTTGTTCCTCCATCTCACCACTTTTTACGGTCTCTCTAACATCTTTTACTATCCCTCCTTTTTTCTCCTCCACATAAAATATTCCTCACCTTAATAAGGAGATCTGCAAATTAGGCTGAACTCAGTCACTTCCTCCTGGTCTCTAGTGAACAAGGACTCATCGAGTTAACTCAAATATCAGTTTAAACATGTCAGAGTGCTGATGGCGCCTACAAAGAAATGAGCTTAGAATTGTTTCCTCTCTTACTGAAGTTTTTAGAGGCAGTGATCATCAACTAATGGCCCCCTGGCCATATTAAGCCCACAAGCGCGTCCCATTTGGCCCATAAAGAATTACATTATTTATAAACTAAAAGCTTACAGTGTTCCTTAAATTAATTCAGACCACTTGCTGCCTTTCAAACCTTACAGTAAGATCACTCATCCTGGGAAACGATTGAGTAAAAGATATTATGGTCAAAACTTTAAATAATACAACAGAATAATCTCACATGACATCACAAGCACAATCTGTCAGCATTAGAGCAAGCACGCCAGTCCAGGGGCCATTCAGGGGCCTCGGAGTGATTTTGTGCAGCACTCAATGACATTTATTAAATGGTGATTTATATTTCTCCGGCAGGCTGTTGACGTAGATCGACTTTCATGTTCATGCGTCTGCCCATCTGTTTTCACCCGCTTACTCAAATCTGGGTCGCGGGGTTAGCAGCTCCAGCTGAGAAGCACAAACCTCCATTTTCCTGGCAACTTCCAAAAGCTCCACCAGCAGGATCCACAGGTGTTCCCAGACCAACGTGTAGAGATAAACCCTGCAAAGTGTCCTGCCAGCTGGAAGCCTAAACCACCTTCCCTGAGAGGCACCCAGAAGACATTCTCACCAAATGCCCAAACCACCTCAGCTGACTCCTCTCACAACGAGAACAGCACCTACTCTGAGTCTCGCCCAAATGTCTGAGCTCTTGACTCTTCCTCCAAGGCTGAGCCTGGCCACCCAACAAAGAAAACTCATTTTGTTTGCTTGCATTTGCGATCTTGTTCTGTTGCTCATGACCGGTGGGGACTGGGATGAAGACTGGGACTGGGAAGAAGATCATCAGGTAAACTGAGAGCTTTGCTTTCTGGTTTAGTTTCTCTTCACCACAACCAACCGGTTTAGCCTCTGCATCACTTCCCCCATCCAGCTGTCGAGCTCCCGCTCCATCTTTCCCTCCTTCGTGAACAAGACCACGAAATACTTAAACTTCCCCACTTGAGGTAGGACCTCTGCCTGCTTGGCTTTTCCCTCAGATTTTTTAACAATTAGGTCCATTTGGGACTTATTTCAACAACTTTTACCTTTGTACATCAAATCATTATTGTCTGACAGTCTTGTTTAAATTTACCTCTAGCTAATGAGATGTTTTGATAACACCCCAGAAACACACAGGCACAGAGAAAGAGAGAGAGAGAAACAGCCCAAAAGTATTTGGACAAAGGGTAATAATTGTGCACATTTCACTCAGGAGTCCATTGTGGCCCAGATCAGAAAACAAGCCAATGATGGCATCCTAGCCCATCAGAACGCTAACCTACAGCCTAAGATCAGGTCCAACAAGATCCAGCTGCGCACAAGTGGTCAGCCTGTCTCAGAAGGTGTGAAGATGATCAACAAACACCTGTTAATGTCTAATACTAGATTTAGGCCTCCCCAGCCACCAATATTATGAGCAAATTTTATTCTAGATGTAATTAATAAGATGTTTTAACCTAAAACCACTTTCTGCCTCTGATTCCCTTGTTGGGTCAGTCACTCACCAGGTTCGCACACACAGGTGTGTCGCTCCCAGAGGTCAGAGCAACTGCTGTGCGCTGGACAAGGAGACGAGCGACAGGGGTTGCCCACATTACAGCCAGACTCCACTTTGATATTTCTGGATGGGTGGGGGAGGGGAGAGGCGTCTGGCCTTACCCCCAATCGAACACTCTGTCGACACAGAAGAGGTTTGGGTTAAACAGGTGAGATCTATCTGCTCAAGGATCACGCCTTGTTTCTGTCACGTTTGTGGCTTTCCTTCACACATCCATCTGAGCAAGAAAATTAATCCTCACCTGTATGCATCCTTTTATCCCATTCTGAACCTCGCCAGAGCCCAGAACTCCTCCGACATGCAGATGTTTCACCTTCAAGCCTTGGATGTCATTTCCCAGTGTCACCGTTTTCTGATGGGGAGACGGAAGCAGAGGTGCCAAACATTTCTTATTGACAACCGGAAGTTAACTCAAACAGGAACAAAAACACACGAGGTACACTGAAAACCAAGTTGAAACCAACAACAACCTTCCCCGTGTGATGTAGATCTGTCAGACTTTTCTGAACCGAGCATTTTTCCGTCTTTTATTTTCAGAAGTCAATGCAGGAAATAGGTGTAGGAGACTATTTTCATGTTCAGTCTGCATGAACAACTCAAGAGTGACCGATCATTCTCAAAAATATGAAATAAAAGGAATTTCTCAGTGAACCTGCTCTTTAAGAATAAGATTATTTTCCAGTAATGTACATGGAAATAGACCTTAAGAGTGTTAGCCTTCAGCTTGTTTGGGTTATTTTGAGCTTTGTGTCGGCCCAAATGAAGAGGGGGGAGGAGAGCTAGAGTTCGAGTGAAGGATTGACTTTGTAAATAAAAAAAGAAAAAAGAAATCACGACAGAACATCGATGTTTATATGATAGTGCTAACTAAATCAATGTTGACGGGCAGCTTCATTTGCAGGAAAACCAATGATCTTCGTTCATTATTAGTTTTGCAGCAGAAGAAGCTAAATCTGAAAGGAGACATCTCCAACAGTAACAGCAGATTTGTCAAAACCTTTGAGATATTTCATTGTTTACATTGTGTGACTCACTTTTAGAAAACGGGCTGTGTAACAGCAACAAAACCACAAAGGACTTTAAGGAACGATGGGTAACGATAGGAACATTTTACTTTGAGCACGTCAAAAATGACAATGTGTTTGTGCTTTTCTCTGCTCACATTAATAATGCATATGTGAAACACACACACACACACACACACACACACACACACACACACACACACTGCAAACAGACACCATCCAGAATAATGTGACATGGTAATCCACGAGAGATTAGAAAATCTACACTCCATTTATAGACTTTTAATATTTATACCATGAATGGTCAAACTGCTTTAAAATTGCTTGCGGACATATTTAAAAAAAATTTAAGCTTTTTGTCATCGAACCAAAAGAAAAATAAATAAATAAAAGCTTGTATTTATTTTCCTTCAGCGGGAACCTGGCGTTTATCCTAAATAACCTTCTGTGAGATTTCTGTAGGTTGACCATTACCTGATGGAGTCCAAAGTCAAGCCGCAGCGTGGCGACGTAGCTCGTTTCACGGCCGCTGTGGACATCTCTCAGCTCCAGCTGGAGGTCGTGCCACCGACCATCTGCTATTTGGACCTGTTCGAAGGGCAGACGCACCGGTCGGGTTGAGCTACCGGTGATCGAGAACACCGGTTGACCTTTAACCACCTGTGGGAGACAGAGGGACATATGCACAGCCAAACCTAAACAATGTGAGTGAAGGACACATGGGTAGCATGTTTAATGCAGATTTCTTTAGATGTAGTTGTATCTGTTTTAAATAGAAAATTAAATCCAATGTCTTTTCTTTGGTGCATGGACCTCAGGTTAACCAGTCACCCTAAATTGTCCCTCTGTGTCCCTCTACTGTGGGGTCATGTGATGGACAGATGATCTGTCCAGTGTGTCCCCCGACTCTCACCCAATGACAGCTGGAGCTAGGCCAAGTCAGTACTTCGACGCCAGAATGATTTGGACCCGTTGACCTTATAAAGATCTGATGACATTGTCTGGAAAGAGTGACCGTTCCCACCTGAAACAGCAGACTGATGTGCTTGCTAGCCTGGGCCTGCAGCAGCGTCCCGTCCCGTGCTCTGGTTCTGAACATCAGACCAAGGTACCAGGGCGCGGAGATGGTCACGTCATTCTTCAGGTCCCACCAGAGGGCGCTATTACCGAGGAAATGGTGCGGGTGTGGCGTACCTGAAGAAAATGTTGCGAAAAAAGAAGCATTTTTCAGAACATCATTTAAATTTTGAAGGTTATTATGCTTTTAGCATTTTATTAATTAAAATATTTGAAGTCACGACTAAAAGATCATGACTAAACACATTTTAATTTTACATGTTTTGATTTTAACCAGGAACCTTGCAGGTCCCCCTCAAGGTTTGTCTTTATCTATTAAATTTTTGTTGACAAAAAAAAGTCAAACCACTGAACGTTTATCTTCAAGGAAAGAAAGAAAAACTTCATTTTAGCCCACGAGCGCCTTTTCCCACATGATTTCCCCTTAGAGTTGGATGTCTGGACATACAATCTAGAAATGTCAGTAAAAACAAAATGAATACAACCCACCTGAATCCACCTGGGCAGGAGAATGTCCGCTAGTATGAAGAGTCAGTCAATATATCTCTTAGCCCAATTAGATACAGGGGAAAAAAACAACATGCTGTGTCGATCTCCCAAAATTCAATCTCCCTCTGTTCTTCAGTTACATCCACACTGGATCAAACTGGTCTAGCCTTAAATCTATCCATTGTTCCATGTTTACGGTGACTGTTAAGTTTCAGCTAAAGTATAGAAAGAACTGTTATTTTAATGGAGCAGCGGGAAGGTTTGAAATGAATCCCTGTCCCAGGAGTTCTGAGCATGTGAAGGATTGATTTGATTCATCAATCTTTACAGTCTAATCAGAAATCAAATTAAAGGACTTGACTAAAACTTAAAAGTACAAATTTTAACTGTGTCTGGAGAGTAGAAGCACATTTAGTATCTTACTGTGGCTGCAGTCCTTCCCTCCGTATCCTATCGGACAGTCGCAGGCAAAGGTCTCCCAGCTCACCCTGCAGGTTCCTCCATTCTGACACGGGTTGGACTTACAGAAGGACTGTTTGGCGCTGCAGCCTTTGAGTGGAAACATAGATCCACAAAGTTCATTAGAAAGTGGTTTCAAACGTATTTAAACAAGTTCAAGCAATGATTCCAACACAGCAGACCAGTTACGATTGAATGATTTGAATGCCAACCATTAGAACCATCAAGAACAAAAGTGTTGTTTGTGTTTTTATTAAATAATGTGTTAAGACCAACGCGATTTCTATTATGTTTTTATGTGTTTTTTAATTTTTGATTATAAAAATAATACAAACCTGCAAAAAGGGACAATATTACAAGGAAAAGTTTTTTTTGCCTCACTGTATGCAAAAATATCACAATGATTGGGTATGAAAACAAATTTTTAATGAAAACACATTTTTAACACTTGTTGACTCTAATTTTTCTGATTCCCTTGTGGCTTTTGAGGCCAATAGGTAAAACCGGGTTGAAATAGGTGTTTCTGTGCTGTGAATAATTCATAAATGAGTGTAAAGACATCACAAGAGCCTCTGCTTTGTTCCTCTGAAGTAAAGCTATGATTTCCCCATTACAATATCTACCATGTTATACTTTTGGAACCAGCCACACGGGGGCGCTTGTTTCTGTTTCAGCCTCTTGGTCCCAGTCGTGTTACTTTTCTATTATTTACCGCTGAATGAAAACAAGAACTGTAGAAAGGCTAGGTACAATGGTCATTGCTGATGCAACTAAGCCAAGACAAAATACCTTTCCACAATGGATCGATGGCATAATTCATGCTTTGAAAATAGTAAAAGGAATTAGTGATTCTAACCAGGAAGAGTTCCATTGTTGGCGATAAATCCAGCCAGATCCAACGCCTTGTTGTCAACATGAAGGTCTTTCATACAGCCGACAAAATCCCTGGTGCCAAAGGGGAAGTTGTCAGGAACATTGGGAACTCCCCCCAGAAACAATGGTCCAGTCAGATCCAAAGACCTGAGAAACAAAATGGGCAAAAAAGGAAAGAAAAGGAATGAAACAGGATTATTCATCAGGGATGGCGAAGAGGGGTGAATGAACATGAAGAGCATGTATATGTACGAGATTTAGCAAACCTGCAGACTAAACATGTCATCAACGGTAAACATCAAAAGGAAGAAGAATTAAAGAGTAAAAGCTGCATTTGAGAAAAAATCATAATGAAATTTTTGGGTGGAACAAAGCAAAGAAAGAGAGGGGTTAAAGAGTTGGGAGAGAAAATGTGACAGATGGGAACGAACAAACAAACAAGAGATTAAACACGAGTTGTGGCAAATGTCTGGCGAGATAAAGAAAAAAATGGAAGATGAGGAGCAGGGCGACATGAAGGGATGTAAACATTAACAGAGAAGAAATGATATAAGAAAGATAAAAAAACAGCTGAAGAGGCAGAGGAACAGACGTGGAATCGAGAGTGAGCTAACCGATGAGCTGGAGGGTAAAAAGGTGGAAGACGAGTGAGAGGATTACAAAGGTAGCAAATCACTGCTGTGGAATATATGAGCTAACAAACATGACTAGACGGGAACCGCGGAGCTGTCTAACAGCATTACGTTTATTTAACTATTTATTTCTCCTCAGATCTGTGACGATGCACGCTGCAGGACAAAGAAACAGACAGCAGCGTTTGAGGAATTCTGAGGAAGACAAAAGATAGCAAAACGGGAATCAACAAACAAGAGCTTAAGTAACAGCGGAGGCATTCATTAGAAGAGGATGTCAGGTTTTTAGTGAGACAAGGCTGTTAGCGGATAAATGGAAAAGAAAAAGCATGTTGAAATGTGAGTCTTTGGCCTTCGTCTTTGATCTGTGCTTTTAGAGCTGACAGGAGACTCCCGGTGTGAGTAGAGCTTACAGAGGGAGGCCAGACACCCGCGCTATGACAGCATGGCGGTGATTAAACTGGGTGTTCAGTCACTTGTTGGTGTATTAAAACATTTGTAGGCTGACAAAATATTCATTAATCAGGGGAATAGACTGCACCCATCTGACAAGGTCAACTAGAAAATACAACATTTGAAAATGAATTGCAGAGAAAAGAAATAAATGATGAGATGGAAATGTACACAGACACAAACTTGTTATCACGTCAGAGTTGCACTTCATCAAAGCTTCAGATCTCCTCAAATCTCCTTCAGCCTCATCATTGTGGTTACACCTGAAATAAAGTATGTGCTAAATCCTAAACACACCAAGGTTTTGTTGACTTTAAGTTAATGTGATGTGCTTAAGCTCGGATCACACGGCAGGATAGAGACCACACACACCATCGTAAAAGCACAGATGTACCAGTTTTGGTCATCAGTGAGTGGCGTGAAGCAACTTGGCAAAAAATACTCATGAGCCCATTTCACTCACGGGCATCCCCAGCTCAGATGGGAAATCTCACCCAAAAAACGTGACTTCAAAGTAAACAAATATGGCGGACGAGGAGCATTCAACAGGGAGCATGTTTGTTTTGTTTGTTGTTGTCAGACCAAGTCAATACAACGTGTTTGAAAGTCCAGATTTATATTTGGAGCATTCCAGATGTGCTTCAGAGAAGATCACAGTGCTCTTAACATACCACACAAGGTAGGATTATCTGATAAGTAATTATGCACAACCTTATTTCTCTAATTTCCCTCTGGGATTAATAAAGTATATTTGAATTGAATTATGTTGTCGCACGAGGTGGAGCTTGACAAAAATTGAGGCAGTCATCCCGCCACGTAAAATAGGTTTAGTAGTTTGCAATTACTATGTTTAGAGGAGTTCTGCTGTGTGGTTGATTTGCTAATGCTAATGGTTAGCTTCTACTAGCCGAAATGTTGTCTGCTCTGTCCTGTACACCAAATCAACAACAGCCGTCGCGAGCCAAGATGTTTCAGTCATGAATGTTAATTTGACGTTATAAAGTGCAATTGCCTGATTTTTCTGATCTGAGAGTCTCCCTGTCGGCAGCTAAATCAGGAAAGAGGGGTAGAAGACTATTTTACATTTGCATGTAAAACTCAGAGCGACTGATCGTCTTTCAAAAAAAATTATAATAATACTCTTTCTCAACAAACTTGGCCTTTAAGGTTTTCCACTTCTAATAAGTTGATGACTGAACAACAACAGTATTTTGCCGTTAAAGTAATTTTTTGCTTCAATATTTAGTGTCTTTAATCTTTGATCGTGGTTTTTATTTTCAGTTATCTTTATTTGTTTTCTCTTTTTATCATGTTTTAATTAGTTTTTTCTTTCGGCAACGGGATCTATGTAAAAAAAAAACGACTGTATGCACCGATGCAAATAAATGTCCTCCTGGGGATGGTGGGAGGAACACAAGTCATGACTCAGAGCTTGTGAGCAGCTTTTACAAAACATACTTACAGGAACACAAGAAAATTAATTATAGCTTTGAAAATTAAACGAATGAATCACAAATGAACTGGTTTTCGTCCCCTGTAAAGGCTTAATTTATAGTTTTATTTGTATAATCTAGGGACCTAGATACAGTATTGCCAGATGTCTAGCACGCAGCTGCACTCACTGATCAGCTTTATTGGTTTTCTGCTTGAGTGAAAAATTGCCTTGAATAAATGTTAAGCCTCCAATCAGTTACAGATTATGTTTAATGGAAGATCTCTTTGCAAAGAAGCTGGAACATCTTGTGCAAACACCGCCTACAGCTCAGGGTCAGGGGCAACTCATATCTGCTCCTGCAGGTAAAAACCATTCTATGAAATCAACTTTCCTTTGGGAAAAATCTGAATTTGTATTTATTCCACACAGATCAGTGCAGAAAAGTAGGAAGTAACTTATTTCCCCCAGAAATTAGGCTGTGATTTTAAACATCATTGGAATCAGGCTGTATTTTCTTTCCTGGACTTTTAGTCGTGGTTATTTGTGGTTCAAAAATCGCTTCATCTGTGAGCCTGTGTGGATGTCTCTCTGTGTGCTGACTTGTCAGGTCAGATAAATCCAATATCTCTTCAGCCACTTGGATGTTTCAGTCATCATGGGTGCTGAGCAACGTGTGCCACCAATGTACGGGGCATCAAAGATTGTTCCGCCAATGTCAGAGAGAGAGAGAGAGAGTGTGTGTGTGTGTTTGGGGGGGGGGGGGGGGGGCTTCCGTTGATGTCTGTGATTTTGGGAGTACGTTCAGCACTCATCGTTCACTTTGAAGAGCCGTTCAAAAGACCTGATATATTCATAAACGTCACCTCACTAGCGCTACTGCTGAATTATCTCGCTAGCTTTCATTGGATTCTGCAGGAGCTGCTAATTACTGATTTTATTCAAACCTGCAGCGTTCAAGCAGGGAAACATCTAAAGCCAGCTAATGCGGCACTCGTGATGCTAGCCCACACTTGCTAATGCTACAACAGGATACAAAATTGTCCAATGCAAAGTTGCGTAAGATTGAACATTACGCTAATCACTTGACATCACCCCGCTTCTCCTCCAGCTTCACTGGCTGCCAGTCAACTTCAGGGTTCATTTCAAGATCCTGGTTCTGGTCTATAGGGCCTTACATGGACAAGCACCATCTTACATTGGTGATCTTCTCAGTCCCTACACCCCCAGCAGGTCCCTGAGGTCCAGTGATCAAAGCCTACTGGTTGTGCAGCACCAGGCTAAAGACCAAAGGTGACAGATCATTTGCTGCTGTGGCCCCCAGACTCTGGAACTCTCTTCCCCTGAGCCTGAGATCAGTGGACTCAGTGGTCTCCTTTAAAAAGCAGCTGAAGACTCACTTGTTCAAGCTGGCTTTTGTATGACCTTCTTCACCACTCTCTCTTTATTCTGCTCTCCCCACCTATTCCACCTTCCTCAGGATCCACTCTTTCCTATTCACTTTCTCTCTTTCTTAACATTTTTTAATCCCAATTGCCTATTTTTGCTCATTTTAAATATATTTTTAAACATTTTCTAAATGCTTTTTTATATTTTAACATGTTTTTGTTTTTGTGAAGCGCCTCGTGATTTTTATCTTGAGAGGCGCTATAGAAATGATACTTTAGCTTCGAAACACAAAAGATCAAGACCCCCCGATCCCCCCGCCCCATTCCTCCCCACAGGTAGTTTTAAATTTACAGACTAACATTAATTGAATGCAGATCAAGCCAGGCGAGGCATTCAGGGGAATAAAAATGATGAAAGATTAACTAATTTATAACATAGAACAGGGTCAGAAGGTGAAATGTAAGCATTTTTTGGGTTCCTTTAAAATTTCTTAGACCGCATACCCCAGCTTTAATACAAGTGCTGCTGGATATTTCATCTTTAACTTGCAAAACAACTGACTTAAAGCTCAAATAACTCAAATCAATTTAAAACAGAAAAGGAACATGGTACAAACTCACTTCTTGCTGCTGGTCTGTTTGCCCTGTGCGGCGCAGCTATAATTTCCAAGCTGCAGACCAAAGCGAAGTGACAAGGCCGTGTCACAGTCGTCAACGCTCACCACGGCTATCTTCTCATCCGACGGACCCTGGGCTTCTCCAATCAGGCTGCGTTTAGGCTGAACACACACACAAATACACGAGATTGAATAAAAACCTGAACAAGTGTAAAACTGGAAACAACATGGGGAGAGACGGCATGCAGAAACATGAACAGAACAGCATTTTTATTAAATAAAGACTTTTTCACACTGTAGTCAAACCCCACGATAGACATGAATTAACAGTCTCATCTCACATAACAGAAGCTATTGTGCTACAAGGCAGAATGTTAATAGAAAAGATGGGAAATTTGAGTTAGTTTTAAAAAAGTTATTAAGTGAACAATCATAGACTCTCACGCATTTTTACTGTTTTTGGGCTAAATAAAGAGAAGGAGAAAGAGGAAACTGAGCAGGAGGAAAATGGATGTGCATCCTGACACACTCATACTCACATAGCGTGAAGCTGGCTGAGGAAAATAAAAAAAAACATGAAGAAAATTAAAGGAGATGTGCAGCGAATATGCATGAACATAACGGGGACAAGCGAACGCCCACTTCACAGTAAACACACACAAACACACCATCTCAAATCTCAGTGCTTTCTTTGTCTGCATAAATAAACTTTTCTGCTGAAGCAACAGAAGCAAAAACAACAAATGAAAGAGAGAAAACTAGTAGCACAGCAAAACTTTAAATCATATAAAACAAACATCAGAGGTTAAATGAAAGCCTCTGCCGTGACGAGGAGGAAACCCACCTTGTTGTAGTAACGGATGTGAACCGTGTGCCAGTTTCCATCACTCACTCCGCCGGACACATAGGGGCTCACCTGAGTGGATGACTCGCCTGCAGGTAGATGGATGATTAGGATTTAATAGTATGGATCACTTTGTACCCATGTTTCCCACCAGCATGACACTTGTTTTCAGAAAATGGGCAGAAATAAAACTGCATTATAAACTTCTACTAAAACATACATGTCCCTATAAATAGTCATGCATGCAAGGACGTTCATTTATCTTTACTATTGCATTTGGAATGATTACATTTACTCCCAGGGGAATAGTGGTGGCTTGTCCATAGGGGTGCTTCCCTACCTGACTTAAAGGGAGAAAATTCTTCTGAAAAGTAAATAAAACTACTTATATATACATATATATATATATATATATATATATATATATATATTTTTTTTTTTTTTCACCAGCCACCACTGCTGGGCCACAGATACACAAATAACTAGATTTAATCACCCCTGGAGAAAAAAATGTTTTCACAATCTGCACATTCATGACACAGAGGAGAACACACTGCTTCATGAAGGCAACATTAGCGATGGGTACCGAATTCGGCACTTTTAAGGTACCGACCGAATTCCATAGTACCGACTGAGCACCGATTCACGTCATTTGAAACGGTGCCTCGTTTCGGTACCCGTCCTTCATAACGAGAACTCGCCTAGACAGCTGCACATGTGCAAGAGCGTTATGTCGTCGGTCGCTGCGAGCCAATTGTAAACAGAGCAGCATGGTAGAAAGAACGCACGCTAAAGCTTGGGTCCACTTCACTAAATGTGATGGGTAACTGGGTGATGATGAAAGCAGCAACAACGATCTAAGTGAGACCTCTTCATCTTAATCTGCTTCTGTAGGTAAATTAAATGTTTAAGATAACATTAGCTTGATATGCTAGCTTCCGTTTTGCGAATGGTCTGTTCGCTTTCTCCTCGGAACTCCGAATTTCCGACTAGAAGAACATGAACGCGCTCTAAAGTTTGGCTTCACTTTACTAAATGCGACGGGTGATTGGGTGAAGATGAAACCAGCGACAACGATCTACTGTAAGTGTGAGGCATCATCGTTTTAATCTGCTCCAGCAGCTAAATTAACTGTTTAAGATAACGTTAGCTTGATATGTTAGCTTCCTTTGCCACCATTGTTATCAGCTAATGGTGCGTTCACTTTCTCCTAGGAAATTCTAACTTCCCAGTAGGAAAAATCAAATGAAAAAGGACGGCAAAAGGAATGACACAGTAAATTTAGTTCACAGTTAAGATGTTTGCTTCAGTTTAATTATCAGCTTATAAAACTACAAGGACGATGTTAAAATACAAATAGTTGTATGTTATTAATTGTGATATTTATCGAATATGGTTAAAAATTGAGAAAAATATGTATTTAATTATAAAAGAGAATTAAAATATTAAACACTCAAAAGTATCTAAAATTGGTACTGTTAAGTACCGGTATCGATTCCTAGGTAACGGGAATTAGTACCGAATCGATTCAAATGTCAAAGGTACCCATCCCTAGATAGTGGACATATGAGCCACATATATAATCCCAGAAGGTTTTCTTGAGGGAATATGAATAAAAAACATGATTGAAGTCAAATGCACATCTTGAGTCAGTACCTGTGGAATATTTGAATACCACTTGTCCCTCTTGGATCTCCAAAGCAATGAAATCATGTTTCTCGTTGAAGCGTCCGTTATAAAGGAGGAGACCGCTTTTCTTCAGGGTGGCAAAACTAAACAGCAAACACACAGAACAAAGATTTATGTGTTATTTCAATGCCATTATTTAGGTTTTAGGGTTCAAGTTCCAAAAATAAGAATGTTTATGCGACTTATTGCTTCTAAATGTCAACAAAAACCTGTGGGCAAGGAGATAATGAATGTCTAAAATAACTCAATTAAAGTATTTAAATTCTTACTTATTAGTTTAACAACATGCAAAAAGAGTCAAACTCTTGCAAACAATTCTCTACAAACCACAAACCCTTGTCTTTATTATTTATTACAGTTTGAAGATAATGTCAGAATAAATTCCTCCAAAGTGCTTTTTTCCAGGTCTGAGGTGATGTCAGCACAACTGGTGCCATGAAGAAAATAAATGCAGAAAATCTAACTCTACATGTTCCCAAATGTGTAACTCACTATTACTGAAATTCATCTTTTTGAAATGAAGTGACTCGATCCCAAAAGCAATAAAACTGCATAAATGAATATTATGTGTTCATTAGGGTTGTTATTCGTCAAACTCTTACAGCTCCAGAGCCAGAAATGATTTTCAGCACAGCTGAACAAACTAAAGATTCCTGTATTAAACACAAACGGCTCCTCCAGCTGGTATGGAAATACACCCTAAGCTCAAAATCCTTTGTTGTTATTTTTGCTTTAAAGCCAAACAATATTGCTTCCATCAGCACAGTGATTACAAGGGGAAAGAAACCATTACTTTTTGCTCAACAGGAGTATAAAATTATTTTAGAGGCAAGGGGATGCTGAAAAATACCAAAGAGGCAGAAGTCAGAGAAAGATGCAGATAATCTTTATTGCAGCTTTTAATTAATCTGGACCAAATTTAACCCTGCAGGGATTTAAACCAGGGCTGCAACTGATGGCGTCAAAAATGTTTCTAAAACATTTTCAAAGGTTCTAATTTTCCTTGAGTCACTTCTTGTGTTGCTGACGCTTTGAATGGGCTCGAGAATTGTGACCAGCAAAATTCTTGCAAATGAATTTGTCTCGGATATCTGGAACTTCTCTGGAATCCTTCTCAGGAAAGAACAGGAAATATGAGACGTCTTTGGGAGGACTGGCAATGACCGACACAAATGAAGACGTTAGCTTTTTCATTCAACGCGTTTGGTGATGTGAAGGAACAGGTGGAAAAAGAGCAAGTCAGCAGAACTTCCAAATGCAGCAAGCTTCAAAATAAAAGTGCATTTGATAGTTATATCAATTTTGCATTTTGACAGATGACCACTTAATCAATGTTTTGATGTCGATCGATGTATTGTTAAGCCCAGTTAAGACGTCAGCGCGGGTGCAGAGTTGCACACAAGCATTGACCAGAACCAGAACAAAATAGGGCGTGGTATTTTTCTGGGTGGGGGTGGGGGTGGGGCATCTCCAAATCCAAGTTTACGTAATTTATTTACACAAATCAAAAGTCTGCTGTGCATCTTTGTACTCCATCAATAAAGGTTCTACAATATCATCGGACTTCATCCGTGAGACGTCCTTCGATCTTCTCCGTACCTGCCCCTATTTTCTGCACTCTTTTTTTAATGGTGATGCTGTTGACTAATTTAAAAGAAGTGGAGTGTTGACCAAAGGCTTGAGCTCCCCGTAGTTTTGGACAGAAAGTAAAGAAAACAAGACTCTTTGGTGTCAAAGTCAATCCAGATTAACGGAGAAACAGACCATAGACATGTTCAACAACATCCCGCTTCTCTTAAGCACTTATTTAATGCAACCGTTATAAACAGAGAGAACCGAATACAGTTTCTCAAACAATATTTTGACCTTACAACAATCCGCATCTGCACATTTACCAACCTAGCCTTTATAGGGGAGTACTATTACCAGAGCTGTTAAATTATCATTAATAGAACTCAACCATGAGACTCCTTTAACCTTTCACTTCCTCCCTTGACTGATCGTTGCTGCACAAAGAGTAGCCACAGATCAATACAAGTCAGAGGTAGTGCTTTAAGGCCTCAACGACACTAATTCGACAAGAACACCACTACCCAACGTCTAACAGGAACCACTAAGTGTCGCCACATTAGCCTAGCAACCACCCCCACAGGCTAAATCATCCTAGCAACTAATATGAGATGAGATCACCCATGGCAACCACCCCCACGATCCTGCCTGACCACACTTAAGGACCACTAGAGATCATCCTTAGACAAGCACTTGATATCTTAAGAGGCAAAGGAGCAGCAGGGAGATGATGGCGTGATGTGAGCAAAACCAAGACTCATAAAACTAATGAGACGATTTGGATTTAAGTACTGAACACTTGTTATCCCCTAGATAAAACAAAAACAAAAACAAAACAAGCCCAATGCCAATAGTTAAGAAGCAAAAAAAGCAAGGTGGGCCAGAATTTTCTGTTTGGAGATTTGAAAGCAAACAAAAATAAACTCTAATAACCAAATTAAACATTTACCTATAACATTATTTAAAACAAAACACAGATTATTGTTGATAACTGGGTTTCTGCTCTCTCTGATCACTTGACACAAAGTATGATGTCAATCTTTGCTTAGAAGACACGAGGCTGAGGGGGATCGGATGTTGGATAAGTGGAAAGAGAGATAGCCAAGGAGATATTACAGGAACCGGTAAATTGACAGAAGACAGAGGAGCATGTGGAGATGCATCACATTTCCCAACACAGAGAAAGGTGGAGGCTGTTGAGACTGATCTCACGGGGAGAGGAAATAAATAGATTAAAGAGAAGAAACTGTAAGATAATTTAGGATCAAAGAGGACTGGTTATAGATGGCTGAGTGAGGCTGAACTCTGAGATGAGTGAGGAAAGAAAAAGACTTTTAAAACCAGCTAAAGACGTTGAGAGAGGATTTTAGGGTCTACTTACGTCAACGAGATGGAGAGGTGAAATCTCTGCCTGAGGCCTCGGAACATGACAAACGACTTGGCTTTGAAGGACCTGGCTGTGACGGTGCAGTACGGACGTTCGTAGCTTCCTGCAGGACACTCGCAGCGGAACCCCCCACCGGAAAGCTCCCGACACGTCCCTCCGTTACGACACACACCTGGCATACATCTGCCCTGCTGGGGGTCGAACTCACAGCGGTCACCTGAAGCAAAATATCCAAAAGACGAGAGTTTTACCTCAGGAACACTTCAGGATGAAGTACAACAAAGTTTTCAGATAGAACTGTAGAGACAACCATGGGACATTTTATCTTAGTCTTACTTGTTAAATAACATGTTTGATGAGGAGCAGAACCATTAAACAAACTGCAGCCTAGAGAGCCACACTTTTGCTGAGAGGTTTACTTTATGCATATAACACTTTATTGACTCTAGTGATTCAAATCTGATGATTCACTCCACTTAGTGCATGACAGATCTACCAGAAAGAGTGAAATTATAGAAAATGTTTGTTTTCACCTCATAACATTGATTTCAAGCATGCACTTAGTATTGAATTTCAGTTGCATGAACACAAATGGACTATTTAACCGTCATCTATTCCAAAAAGCTTTTGGAATATGGTACATTTTGTTTTAATACCTCATCTGAAGCCATCTAATGATGATGAATACATTAAATATAACATATGTGTATGAAATCAGGTCTGTTCTTCAAAGAGACACCATCTTTGCATCATCTTAATGTATTTTTTTTCTAGAATTTATTTGATGGGTTCAGGAGTTCCTGGCAATCCTGTTTTAATTTTGATTTTGGTTCGTTGGTTTTAGTTTGGAGTTTACAGATCAAAGACCTGAATCCAGCTGACTCCAGGCTGACCTAATTGTCCTATGAGGCAATGTTGACACAAGGATTATAACAGAACTGAATATATGTAATATCAACCACTTTGAATATGACAAATTGGAAGAAAATATGCAGGTTTTTTAGTTTTTGAGGCAAATTCTCCAATATGTAAAATCACAGATGCTCTAAAGATGGAATGGTTGGATCTTATATATCCTGGTATTGAATGAGACAGATTATGACTTTCTTAAATTATAATAGCTTTATATTCTACACAAAACCTGTTATCAAAATTATTTGCACTAAATCCCCATAAACAGATTTAATCCACATTCTTAGTAATAGACATTTAATTAGCTCCAGAATGAGCCGTTTCAGGGCGTTGTCACTTTAAGATGCAAGCTTAAGCTGGCCACACCCACCCATCCCCTGATTGGCTGCTATAAGCTGAGAAGCTCCAATATCAGGGAGGGACTGCTCCTCCAACAGCAACTCTCGCCTTGTTCGAGATGTGCCAGTTCTGCGCAGATTAGATCAGCGGTGATCGGCGCGCAGTGCATGCCGGTTAGATTTGTGTCCGACTTGACGCCGACTTGCTCTGACGTCATGCATACATACGCAACGATAACCTCGTGAGATCAAGGCGGCAGCAGATTTTGGAGCAAAGCGCTGCAGTTGCTCTCCACCGGCTGCAAAACTTTGGGCATGACGGAAAACGCCTGGCTCTAACCTGATCTAAGATCTGATTGGTTCACGTTTTGATCCAAACATCCGGTAGTTGAATGCAAAATGTTAGTTGGTCACACGTATTCTGTAAATCATGTAACGTTGATGATGACAACTATATAGGCCATAAAGAGGAATGTGTTTTGTCTTCTTTTGTCACGTTTCCTATGAGCACACTAAAGCTACAGCTGATAACCTTTACTTATTATTACAGTCATATCTTCATATGCACATGTCTACAATATATGAGATCCACAAGCATGTGAGGGTGTGTTTCGGTTGCTAACAGGCACCAGAATTAAAACAAAAAATTAAACAAGATATCTTCACCCATCGTCACCCGCGAGCTACACGTGTAGGGAAATCCGTCCGATTTAAATGCCGGCTTTCAGCCACTCCTCCTGCTGCGTCCGTCTGCCCTCGTCTGTTTTCCAGACGAGGCGCTGCTCATCTCGAACAAGGCTTCTCTCTCTTGGACATGAGAAGTCGATTTAGGAATATTCTCCCATTTGTGACATCACAAATAGGGACTTTTAGAAACAGCTTGTTTCAGGCACATAATTCCTAAAACCAAACATGGATGGAAAATGAATGGACATTTTTTATTCACACATGAAGGTTTGCAGAGGCAGTAGAGACCGACCCTAACCTTGCCCTTAATATGTCGTCTCTTTAAAGATGGCTGCTAAACACAACGAGATTACAAATTTTTTTAGGCTACAAGTTTTCTAGGAAGTTAGAGCGTGTTTTTGCTCTCTGCTAGTGGACTACAAGCTTAAACTGCAAACTTTTCCTTTGTTAAGCAGCACTGTGCTGATTCCTGAGGAGCTCTAATTGAACAACTTTTAAAAAAGACTTTTAATAGTTCATAGTGGTTTTATTCTGACAGCCAGAAGACACTGCATGGTGATGTCTCCAGGTGAAAAGAGAATAAAATACATTTCGGCTGACTTTGAGTCTGCTGCTTCGGAAAACGATGGAAAATCCTAAACAACATAAACAAATCTGCAGACAAAAATAAACACTGATATGGCTGCCAGTCAAACCAGTCTGGTATGTCTCAGGAGTCTTAAACACCCCCACAACACACACACACACACACACACACACACACACACACACACACACACACACACACACACACACACACACACACACACACACACACAACATGAAAAGGTACTCAGAAATACATGTTGACTTTTTCTTTTCACCTTTCCTTGAGCGTAGTTTGGACACACACGTTGTCTGACATTTAGCATCTAAACACAAAAAACACCCACCCACACACACACACGCAAACACACACACACACACACAGAGTGCCCTCCATGCAACCCAAGCAGACGGGGTTTGGACGTAGCCTAAAGACAGATGGCTCCTTAAGGACCCCCTTTAGAAACCTGCTGAGGGCCTGACAGAAACACACACAGACACCAAATTGCAAACACATCAATTATTAATACATTGCTGAGATTTTCTTTCTGTGAAATTAAAATCAGACACAAACACACATTCAGTCTAATAATCCTCTCTATCACGAACTCACCCCCCCCCCCCCCACACACACACACACACACACACGCATACTCTTTTTTTTTCTTCTCTCTAACGTGTTCATGGATCATTGCCCCTGCCCTCGAGGATGTTGGGTTTGATCATGTAGCCGTCTCTACTGGCACTTTGCTTGCGCTGCTTTTAGACGCCAACGCACCCACTGGCAGTCTCGACTTCTCAGTAGTGACACAAAAACAAAGGCTTAAAGCGGTAAGTCGATAAAGTCTTCACCTCTCCTCATGATCTAGTGGAAGCAAACATCATCTGACACATACAAGACACAGAAACTTACAGTCTTGCTCGTGCAAAGACGGTTAAAACACACATCGTCCAGAAGTGCAGGGTGAGTCACGACTATCGAGGATAAAAACACAGAAACACGCTGACACAAAAGCTGTAAAAGCACACACAGTCATGTCGGATTTATATGTTGATACTGAGAATTTGTGACACCACAAAAGAGTGGAATGATGCAATGTTACGTGTAACGTCCATCTGATTCTGTCCATCATTAACCTATCTCCATAAATTCTTTTCAATTTCTTTTAGTTAGGGTGAAGAGGCAGTTCTTGCAGGGTTCCAGTAACCAAGACATCTGCCATTGTAGCGACATGAATGGCCTCGTACTTGTGACCCAAAGGTCACACTTCCCCAGCTAGGTCGAGCTGGGTCAAGCTGTAACTTTAGTTCCACAGATTATCCGTCACAGGAGCCGTACAGTCTGCTAAACACCATCTTTTATCTGTCTGCTGTTCCTCCGCAAGATGAAGGACACTTCAAGATTTTAAAATAATAATTTTAATAAACTATTTTTACTGCTTATTGCAAGGTTTATTATAATCATCATAAATAATCATCATGGTTCAGTATAAATGTATTTAATTACTGAAATGACTTATTATTCTTTGGGTTAATAATAATTATTATTTATGATAATCAGTAATGTTTGATCAGTAACAAGAAGGTCATTTGCACGTGTACACATCATGCAGAACTGAAACCAGGGTAAAGTTAACCACCTCACATGTCTTTGCTCCATAACAACTAGCTACACCATTAAGCACAAAGTTAAAGCCAAAAAAATCCAGAAACATGATGAATCCGGAGTACAAAATAATCAGTAAGTGTCGTTGATGCAGAAACTACAAAAAATAATAATAATAATAACTTGAACATAATAAGTAAGTGAGCTTTAGGTGGGCCCAGTTGACACGGCAGGATTTTTAAACTGCCAGCCAACTTTATAACAAAAGATACCACACACGTGTTGATGGAAGTTCACGGAACATTCCAGAGTTGATTCTACATTGTTATGTGTGCACCAACTGCACTGTGTACTACACTACACAGGAACCACTTTCATTCACGGACATTTACTGCTCAGGGAAATGTCAGAAGATAAGTCATAGATTAAACAAACATGGCGGAGGACTGTGCTGCGTGCTTCTGCCACCTCGCTTTCTGACTAGTTAGATGTCACAATCAACAAGCAGCACGTTCATCCATCCTCAAAAATCAGACCAAGACAATCCAACATGTTTGAAAGCCCAGATTTATGATCAGGACGCTCCCTACATCCTTTCAAGACATAGGGAGGATTTTCTGATATGATTATCTTTAGAGCCGTTGTGGTAATCGTACGCACCCTTGAAGGCACACTTGGCAGTTTTGGCTTGCCTTTAGCACTTCCTAGTGCCCTTTAGAACCAAAAGTTAAACTTATCTCATCGCTGTGCGTTCGTCTCTTTAACACCTTAATCTAAATGCTGAAATGTCGCCTCAGCCTTCATTAGTTTCTACAGGAGTGATTAATCATTAAATCAAACAAATCAGCTGTGTTTATGATCTAAAACATGCAGGAGATGTGCAACAGGGACTGGACCAGACCGGCACAAGTGTGATGGACGGGGGTGGGGGGGTGGCGATAGGGGCTGGGTGGCCTTACATTTAACCTGTAAAAATGCATTCTGGCTCAAGAAAATGATTTAAAAATATGAAGAAGTTGCAAAGTATGGTTATAAGATAGTTGACAGGGCAGGGTTGGTCAAAAATCTGCATGATTGTGCCACTGTGTG